GCTGAGAAGGATGTGTTTCTTATGGTTGATAGCTGATGCTCATTCTTGTTTTGTTATTAATGAATGAAGATTATATATATTAACAAAACCCCACCAAAACAACCACAACAGGGGAAAAAAAAAAAAAAACTAAAACCCCAAACTAATTGCTGTTACAGGAGTAGAGCCCTTTTTTTATAAGAGCTTAGGTGGAGATAAGGGGAGAACAGGGAGATTTTAATGTCCTTTTTTTTCAAGGTATTATCTGCAACAGAAATTCCTAGCTGCATTGGACAATGGCTCTTTTTATTTACATATGTAAAGGTGCATTATGTATGATATTCCAGCAGTTATTTGTGGTGTTCTTCATTACTTTCTTTAGCTGAAGGATATTCTAAGAGTAGCTTCCTTATGCTCTTCTAAAAATGTATATGCTGAAGAAGATTAGTAATGTATAGCAATTGTACTGCAGAACAGAAATCTAAATCTACTTTACAGGCTCTTGTATACAGTGTTGTGATTGCAGACCATCTCCATGGTTAATCTATACCTGTATGTGAAATACCTTTTTAAATATTATTATTTTTTAGTAGGTTGTTTTTTTGATCTATCACGTTTCTATTTACTATATTGTGTTCACTTTTGCCTATTTAATGCAGTGCTTGTTCTATCTGTTTTGGACCATTGGTTATTAATTTCTCATTACAGTGGTAGCACTAGCAGTTAGGAGAAAATTTTCAAGCGAAGTGCTTGACCACTGTCTTGGAGTAGGGTGGTAGGCTTGTGAAGTTCAAGTAACTTCTAGTGAGGAACATAAAATTTCTGTTTGCCTGACTCTACCAGCCTAGAAGAAAGTGGGTGGGAGGTTCTTTTCAGATGAAACAGACCTTTATGGAAAGGAAGATCTTAACAGAAAATAAACCAAGTAATATTACAGATGATACTTGTTCTGAAAGGTAGGTTTTTTGTTTTGGCTACTAGTAAAAAAACCAGATCTGTTCTTGACAATATGCTCTTTTAAAATCAGGAAAAAAATTTCATTCACAGATCATTGTTACACTAAGATTCAGCTGAGTTACTAGGTCACAGCAACACTGCAATATTGAGGATTTTTACTACTTTAGCTGTGACAGCAAACAGAAAGCATTGGAGCCTGATGATATGACAGGTCATGTGATATCAGTGAATACCTCATCTTGAGGGAGGAAAATATGCATGACTTCCCTAGTAAAAATGCATCATTCAGTAAGAGTAGGACCCAGAGAACTGTGTGAGCAGCGTTGGCACCAAGAGACACAATTTGTAGTACTTGATCTAGAAGAATAAGATGTTGTAATAGTCTCTAGCTAGTCACATCTGGTGGTCCAAAGCTGCCCTGGAGAGTGAAATACTCCACTCCTGTCTGTTCCTGAGACTTGGTTGCCATGGTCACAGCTTTAGAGAGATAAAGACTCTCTTCCTGTATTTTGTATGTATAGTAGGAGGTCACAGTGGTGGCGCTGCCATGTAGAAAACCCTATCTTTTTGCTTTCATCCACTGTTATTTTTTGCTTCCCAATCAATCTTTTGGGCTCATTTGTGCTTAAGATACTTCAGGTTTGAGAGTTATCCTTATTTGTCTTTTTTTGTGCACTCTTATGTACAGACTGTCTTTTCTTACTATTTTTATCATCCTTTAAAATCAGACAACACATTCCAAACAAATAACTCTTTCTAGAAAAATATCCACCTTGTATCAGTATTCTTTTAACTGTTCACAGTAATTGGAATGTCTTTGGCACATATATAGTTTCTCTATCCTTCCCCTCCCTGTTTTGTTTCTCTTAAAGATGTGTTCAGGAAACACAGAATAGAAGTATCTTCTTTTATTTTGTCTCTGCCACCTACTCACTCTGCAAATGAGTATTTGGGCTCTTCAGAAATGTAAAGTACACTGGATAAAATACCGTATAATAGTTCTTCACCCACCCTGTTATATCACACTCATTTTCCTATGCACTTTGTGGCCTTTTATTTCAGCTCCAGATGTACAAACCAAACTATACACACATATATGCACACCAGAAATCCATAATTGAGAAGTGTATGCCAGCAAGCATATTTTTTTTTAAAAAAGCAATCTTCTACGAGGTGCTACTTAAAAGGGATTTGAGAAGTTATGAATGTTCTATAAATATTTTAAAGATGGAACTCTATATTTTTGAAACCGATTTTAAGATTTCATGGACTTCTGTCAGTAAGTAATGAAGCTGATTGTTCCTGTATATAAACATGCTCTAAAAAATAAACTGCAGCTCCTCTATGTGACAGGCTGTATTTCTTGCCTAATATGAACCCAACAGGGACTCTTTCAATTAATAAGTTAATTCTCTTCTACAAACTCTACATAAAAAATGGTATACTTGCTATGGCATGGTCCTGACACTGACAGGAAAGAATTTGGTAGGTAGCAGAAGTGTTCAGTAACACAACCTGTTCAGTTGTTTTTCAGCTTGCATCCATAGGTCTGTAACATGTAGAAGCACATCTGTAAACAGCTGAAAAGGTGTAGGTTTGTCTAAAATATATTAATTATCTGTTTGCTTTCACATACATCAAGACTACCTGTTTATTCTGTTCAGACCATGTTCTTCAAAGGTGAAATGCTGCTGTCCTGATATTCTGTGACATTTACCACTTCTGGCCTCTTTCTTTCAACTAAAATCTTTTCCTTCAACCAGAAGGAAAACTTGGCTCTTGAAGCTGTTGCCAGGGGAAAAGCTCTTATATATGGAAAAAAAAGCGTGTCTTAAAATATATTTCAGTTTTTACTCCTGAGTGTGTGTGCACATAGAGGAGAATAAAAAGTCAGGCAACCTAGATCTTGATTGTTGTGAGAAATATAATTTTATCCTCTCTTGCCATTATATTGATAGCCTTAATTAAATGATTGCATTCTACTATAAATCCACAAAATTCTTCCACAGAATAATCTGGTTTTGAGGAATGACTGGTGGCAAGGCACTCATACAGCTAGAGATAAGAAAATCTGTTTTGAAGTTTTGTCTAATGTATATCATGTATGTATAAGCAGGTCTTTGAAATTTAATACCATGCTCCACAAATTCCTGGATTTATTAAAAATTTATTGTAATCTCTGCTTTACATCCTTGCCCATAAAAATAACATGATACCTGGTAACTTCACAGGGTCATTACACAATTTTCTGAAGAACTTGAGTACTCTAGTAGTGAATTGCACAGACAAAAGTACAGAAATACAGAAAACAAGGATATATATATATATATAGGTGTGTATATATATATGTGTACATATATTTCCTGCATAGTAGATGCTGCAGGAAGTTGTAGGGATAGCTTAGTCCTTCACACTTAACAGTAAGAGAGAATAACTCCTTACTTGGTGACTTTTCTTCATCTTTTGCTCCAAATGATGCAGGGAGTTCTGTGGGGAAAGAGAATGGGCTTGGAAGCTTACATTGCATATATAAAGAGGCTAAAATAATATTAACTGAGCCACATTATTATTTCCAAACTTCTTAAATTTGCAAACACTAACATTTTGATCACATATCTAGTATAAGTTGTATAGTCCTTCTGGGTAGTCACCTATTAATATAGGTTTTGTATTCATGAAATACTGAAATTTTGCAACATTGGGAGCTTTGTAGCCAGTATTATTTTTCATGTAGAATTAATTGTAGACAGTATAATCATAAAGATCTTTGGGCAACTTGCTTTTCTTCCTGTACAATCCTTGGCTGCAGATTCTGGGGAGAGATGAAGAAGAGAAACTTTTAAAACCAACTGGGGCTGTTACATGTTTTATTCTGTGCAATATTATGGTAATCTACAGTATTCAACTGATTTTGTAGGGGGAAAAATGAGCTGCAGTACTCCTGCTTTGAAATCAAAAACTTGGCTATATGAGTAACAAAGGTGATATGATGGGGAACAGAAATGGATGAGTTTTTGAGAAATAATTTCAGATAGACACACGCGCGCACACACACACTTACTGTATGAGATCCCTCAATCCCAGTCCAATATTTTTAGCAGGTGTTACTGATAGAACTTCGATGTTACACATTTTTTCTGGTAGCAGTGAAAAGGAAAATTCATGTTGTATTACTCGAGGCTATAAAGAATTCACACTTAGGAGAAAAAAACATTTCATGTTATAGCAGATATTTAATGCTTTCTAATCCCTTTACATGTCCTTTATCTCTGATATTTATAGGAAACATGCCATTTCAGCAATTTCTTATGAGTTTAATTCCTATAGGACATGTTGTATATAATAATTTGTTTCATGAAATTTAACCTCAGTTTAGGTATCTTTAAAGTTAGTTATAAATTAAGTACTATTACTAAAATAAGTGCTAAATAAGATTTACTAAAATAACTGGTTATACTGGTTAAAGAAATTGAATTGCCTAGAGCCACACAAGTGGTGAAATGGTCTCTGAAACCTTGTATTCATATTCCTGACTACTAGCTCTATGTAGTATAGTCAAGTGTTTACAAAATGTAAGAGGTAAAAATGGTTTTTAGGAATAGGAGCAAAATTTGAGCTTTCCCTTGCTATTTGTAATCCAGAACACTAGAGGACAGCACTAAAATATTACATAAATACGTTGTTTACACTGTTAATGATATAGATGCTCCGTGAAGGCTTTGTGTGAAGAAAAGATATGACACTGGTATTATTCTGAATTTTCTTTGCTCCTTTTGAAAACTGCATCCGACTTCACACATTTTTACAGAATAACTGGTTTCTTGTAGGCCACAGTATTTGCTGTAATGGTTTCTTTAGTAATTAAGCTTTCTTTTTAACATAGCAAAGCTGTAGAATAGAGTCTTGTGTGAAATTACATTTTTAAGATCCAGAAAATAAGGAATTAGTTGATTATTCTGTAAATATTTCATTATTTATCTGCTCACTTTAAACGTATTGTTACACTGAAATATGAAACAATGTCATTCCTTGAAAAAATTATGGTTTCTCTTCTATTTCTTTAGGCACTCTGGAACGACATGAAACAGGTGAAACAGCAAAAGCAATTCTTACTGCCATTGAAGATTCAGAATACGTAGTGGCAGATGCTCCACTTCCTCTATCTCAAGACTCAAAAAGAAATAAAAATGCTGGATACAAACACTCTAGCTCTTACAAGCATGGCATGGTTTCTCACAGTCTTACTCATACAGAAAAATCTTCAGATAAGGTAAGAATGAAGAGCAGAGCATTCCTCAAGAACAATGTGTTGTGATCCAAATTCTTCACCCTTTCACAGATGTGTAGCCCTGAACAAGTAGCACGGAGACTTAGTTTTAAGTTTATAAAGGCTTGTTCTGACTGGCTTGGTTTTTATGCCTTCAACCCTATTTCATAGAACAAATGGGGAAGATAGGGGTGTGTGGAGTGCCTTATGCAAGGTCATCAGTAGGTTTTCTCTGAAGGGTTTTCTTAGAGACCACCCGCAGTTAGACCCTACTATGCCTCTAGCTTATGACTGCACCTGTTACAGTACCCTCAGAACAACTGAACCCTTCAGTCTGGATGTGTATGTCTAGAAAAAGAGCATATCAGGGTACAATGCTATTGGCCTTTACATTACTGTTTTTCTGTGAAACAGCAGATTCCTCTTGTCATTCAGTGACAGTTTTTATTGGGTGTTTGATTTCTGTTGATGTCATCACAGAACAGAGTGCAAGTGCCTTACATTAGTGTGATTTAAATTTTGCACCTAATTGCTTAAAAAGATGATGTTCTTTGTGAGGTGCTGGGCTTCAAGTAGTTATGGTAGTCTTCAAGAGAGATTTGTCCTGATACCATATTTAGCTTTATCTAATGGTTTATTATTTTTTTTACAGAAGTCATTAAACCAGAAAACATTAAATAATTACAAAAGATATACTCTTTCTTTTTGTTTTGAAAAAAATTTTTATCGATTGTAGATATTTAGAAAACCTGTATTTGCTGAATGTTAAGCCTCTTATTAAAATTGTCTCATATTTCATACAATCTCAAATACAAGGTAGGTACTACCTTATTCTGATTGGAAGACAATGGTAGATATATCTTTCTGAAAACCCTGTTTGTGCATCTGGAGTGAACACATTCCATGAGCTCTTCATATGAGTGTATGCTAAGAACAGGCCCTCAATATTTTCATGTTTATCACTTTTTCACTTAGTGGGTTTGGGGAATTTTGTTTTCTGTGATTAACAGAGGAAGTTGTGTGCTATTCCTCAACCCTGGATGTATCTAAAAAGTATCTTCCCACAAATATGAGACCATGACAAATACTTTCTTTCAACTTACATGTGGAATCAGCCTTCAGAATTGTCTCTGGCCTTCTTCTGGCTTTATTAGTTAGGTTAAATGGAATATTGGATATTCCCAAATTGTCTGTGATGAAAATATAGCTTAATCTAAGTCCTCATTCTTGAATTTTCTTTTTTGGTCTTTTTCTTTTATACCTGCAAATTTACATATGAGTTAGTTTATAATGGTGGTTCTTTAACTCTTTAATGTTTATTTTTGACCTTTTGCTAACCTTAGTCTGATTTCTAAAGTTCTTTTTGATCCCATTTTTCTGAAAAGTCTTATTAGAGCGTAATCCTGCTGAGCATGTTGTGGGGCAGATGGCGCACTAGTTGGCCATTGACACAGAATCTGATCTCACTGGTAGCTTATTAAAAGGAATAGTTTCTTCTTGCCTTTTTCAAGAGAAACAACAGAAAAAGTTAAAGTAGTTGCATTTGGAGTGTAGTTTTTGTCACACCTATTAAGAAAATTGCATGGGTTTAACAGTGACTGGAAAGAAAATGTGCTGCTTATGGAATATGGGAAAGTAGTTTTTGTAAAAGCTTAGTGTCAAGTTTAACATGTTTTGGGAATGATGATCTTAAATCAGAAGTAATACCACAGTAGGCAGTAGTGGAGTAGTAATTATAATTTATAGCACTCTTCTTGATCAGGCCTGTATCTTGCCTGCTTTCCTTTCTCAGTAAAATATTCCCTTTCCTTGTGTAAATGTTTTTCATTAATTATCTTGTCCCAAAGAAAACTTTTATTGACAGAGCATTATTGATTTCTCTTAGGCTTCTCTATGACTGTTAAAAAATAAATTCTTTGAAACTTTATTTTACCTTCTTTTTTTGTTAATATTGTCCTATTTAATATCCAACAAATCAAGTTCTATACTTGGGAAACAATTTTTCATTCGTGCAAAAACTGTCATCTGTTACATCCAGCACTTCTTCCCACCTCCATCCCCATTAGAGCAGGTTCTGTAGATTGGTGTGGGAGGTGCTGGAGGCTAAATGTATAGAGTGTAGCTGAACCTGGGAAAAGTATAATAATGGGAGTCAGCTCAATGCTATTCCACAAGCTCAATGCAGGCTACAGAAAAAGTGTGTGGAGCTCTGTGGCTTTTTTTAAACACTGTTTTGCTATTACTGAAATGAGGGCTTGTCATGAAGTCCACTGTTTTTCATAGTTGTACGCAGGAACTCCTTTTGTTATGGTTTCAGAGTGCTGTGTTAACTGTTCTGCGTCCTTGTATTTTAGCATCTTTTGAAATCCAGATCCCACGAAATTAGTGAGAGTTCTGTAGATACTGGAGTTCAACATTCCCTACCATATTAATAAGTGTATAATGACTACATAATGAAACTATCATGAAACTTTCACATTGTCAAAAGGCTTTAGTATGGATGTTTACAATGAGTGTTTCATTATCATTTTGTGTCTTTGGCAAATTGTCTATAAGATTTCTATTTTAAATTTGATCAAATTTCAGAATCTTTTTTAAAAATTCAATTTCAGAAGATTTATTTAACAAAAAAAGCACTAACTATTCTGTCCTGTTGGTATTCCAGTTGAGTGATCCTTATTTTGTACAATGAGGTGATCGATATGAAGATCACAAGAAAGATTCAGCATGTTTTGATATTTGCGATTACACTGTTTTATCATTAACATTGTTTCAGAAAAAATATTTGCAAAGTACTGGTCTCTTTTTACTCCATCTTAAGAAGAAGAAAAATATCCTCACATAGCAGTCCAGCTTCAAAGGCTTTCTTTCAAAACATTTGTCGTCATGTAAATCACAGGTACAAAAGCAAAATGCTTGGATTTCATGGTGTTTTGACCATTTTAATTCTTTTATTGTGCTGCACGTGCCAGTGGGAGTACCAATAACAGATGAGTGTGACAAATGCAGTTAACACAAGATCCATATTAATGTTGTCAAATCCCTTTGATATATTTAAACAGATTTTAATTATTTTCAATGTCAAAAGACTCAAAATATATAGCCTAATAGTTCTTCAAGAAAGCTTTACTTAATATGTGAATGTAAAACCTCTCATAAAAATGAAACTTTTATATTGGCCTTAGTCATTGACATAGGGTATTCATCAAGTCAGCAATTTGTGTGGCAAAGTGCCATTTGAATAGTGTATTGTTAGAATACTTATGGTCCACTTGACAAGGGCTCTTGCTGTAAATAGTGCAATTTGACTCCAGCTGTTAAAGAGTGGCTTTGACAGCAGCCAAATAGAATGGAGATGCTTTACTGCACCGCAGAAAAATCAATATTGGGTTCTTGTTCATAGTAACCTGTTTTTTTCTTCTTTTTTTTTATTGCAGATTTATACAAGACTGACTAGAGTTCATTTGTGGAAGTTTAAATATTATTTTAAAAGTGGTCTGGTTTATTTTCAGTTTAATGTTGGTGATGAATGATTCTTGTGTGTAGTAAAAAAAAAAATAGTACTTTGTGGATATAAACAATGTGATAATGCAGCATTATTTCAACTCTCCACTTATATGGATGGATATCAGGATGTGGGTGCATAACTTATGTAATTAATGACAAAAAAAAATCTTTCCTGTCTGTCTTTTTTTTGGTTCTGTAGTGTTACTGTAGTATCCCTGTCAATTTTCTAAGCTCAGGGGTTTTTTTAAGCACATGTCTTTGTTGTTCTCCCTGTAATAACCCCCCCAGATGTTGACAATCTGTAGTGCCATTGTAGATTTTCCTAAAACATAGTCTAACTGGTGCTGAACAGTTTTGCAGCAGTATTCAGTGACACAAGGTTGCTATGATACCTGGCCAGTAGCAATAGGTATTGAATCAGTGGTCTTAATTACACTAGACTACACACTAGATTGTGTACTCTTGGTGTTCTTATGGAACAAGCTCTCATTATATCTTGAAATCATGGTTACAGTTGAAAATTTGAGCTGTGCGAAAAACTGGTTTAAAAAACAAAACAACAACTTAAAACACTTTAGTATGTCATATGCAGATTTCATTGATGCACATAAAAAGCTGGATATGTCTGGGAATAATTTTCCAGATGTCCCAGAAACCTTTCATGTTAGAAAGTTTCCTAGCTTTTCAACTTAAATGATTTGGGTGTAAATCTGTGTTTATCATGTACTGATATTTCTAGTGATTTCAGTGATGTAATTAGAGATTCTTCTGGGTAAAATGTTGGAGGAAAAGCAGCTTCTAAGTTTTGTGCAGATCTGCTAAACTGTAGTCTGCTGAATTATACTATTAAAGATCTATACCAGTAAAGGCAAATTTTTACTGTGTATATAAGACAAAGGGGACAAAGATGAGGTGGGAGGGAAAGTGTATATTTACATATGAATTTGTATAGGAAAGTTAGGTGTATTTGTTTTTTGTTATAAACTCAAATTTCTTAAAATACTCTTTTAAGAGCATTGTCCAGTGTAGAAAGAGTCAAAACACCTGAATAAAGGTTTACAGAAGATCTCCTAAAGTTTTTTTTATTTATGGAGTTATCAGAAATAATGATGACCAGGGTAGTTAAGTACCAGTTACTGTAACACTTGTAAATGCATTTTAAACATTTTAAATTGATATACCTAGTATTAGTTGATCCAAAGAACTTACTCTTCACTTGTGTAATAGCACATGTATTCTGCTCTCAACAAAACATATAAAGGCAAGATGCTTTGGAACAGAGATATTTTCTTAGTAGGGAAGCCAAAGCTTATATTTGTACAGTTCCTTAAAACAAGAATGTACAGAAATTATAAATCATAAAAGAAATATCTACTTTATGTTGCCAAATAGAATAAGTAAAAGACAAATGAAGGCTGTAGGGCAATAGCATTTATTTTAGTATAGTAAAGGATGCAATCTGAAAATAAAATTGTTATTGGGAGCCTGGAAAATCA